CAGTCTGTCCAATATAACAATTGTAAGTAAATAACCTTATTTTTAGTACTCAACTGCTGTCCTTTCACTTGTGGGGAAAATCAACCCGAATTCTTTCATCGGCGGGGAAAACAAGCAATCAAATTCACATTTTACACTTTGTAAAGTACTTGAGTTTAACTCAAATCCAATCTGGTATGTATGCTAATTCCATAAAACAACTTTACTTTTTGTTCAAATGCTCTTAATTTGGTGCGCCAAAATTGTTTGGTCACAGCACCTCTTGCTGGACATTAAATTTTCATGCACCGCAGATCTGAATGGTTTTAATCATGACGTGCATTTATACATTAAATTTTCATGCATAAATGCATGTACTGGACTAAACTGAACTTTCTTAAAAAAAGACAAGAAACTTGTTGGAGACCACAAATCATTTGTAACTTTATTTAATGTCTTATTTAGTCTGCTTTGAAATTGGAGACGAATTACCATGAACATGCAGCCAAGTTTTCTCAACGATAAAAGACTGTGGATAACGCAAAATAGAAAACTCCGTAAATTTTAGCACAACCATATGCGAGCACTCGCGTAGCTGATGACAAACGAGCAAGAGACTGTTGAGGTCAGAACAAATGTTGAGTGTTTATTGACTGTCCATGCGCCTACTTGTCTTCGGGCTTATTGAAGCAGTAAGTGAGGCAACACTTTCCGCAGTAATGGCGGTCGAAGTGGCTGGCCATGAACACGCCGGCGCCGCACTCGTCCGCCGGGCACTCGCGCCGAAGACGGTGGATTTTGCCGTTCTCGTCCACCTGCCGAGACAAAAACATCAGTCAGGCGACCGCCGGGGATTGCGCCGGCTGAGCGTGGTTACCTTGTAGTACTTGAGCACAGCCAGCTTGACCTTCTTCCTCTTGTGTTTGTTCTTCTTGGGGGTGGTGTACGACTTCTTCTTCCTCTTCTTAGCGCCGCCGCGCAGCCTCAGCACCAAGTGGAGAGTTGATTCCTACAAACAAGGAGAAGGAATTTATTTTTTTCTTACATTTGCGCTGCCATACTTCAACTGTTCGATCGTGTCCAGAGTTAGATCATTATCCAGAAGCTTGCTCTCAATAGCCAAAATTAAACTCCTCCATTCAGTAAATACTTGTAAAGGTGGACTGCCATGTCACCTTCTGGATGTTGTAGTCGGACAGAGTACGTCCGTCTTCCAACTGCTTGCCAGCGAAGATCAGTCTCTGCTGGTCAGGAGGAATTCCTGCGCGAAAAATCTAATCAATGGCTGTGCAAAACATGGGTGAAAAAGGATGACATTCATGTGGCCATTCTTGAACATGCTGATCTGCTTTGAGACCGACGAGGAGCTAATTGTACTACTAGAGCACTTTAAAATAACCACCGCTGTGTACAACGTGCTGTGCATGGAGCAAATAGAATGAATACAACAAACCAATACATGAATAGAAGACAGTACAATCAAGTCTCATGCTGAGTTAATGACACCGCAGAGAACACGGAGATTTCTGAATTGCATGCGCTAGTGTTTCTGTCATCAAGTAGTTCGTGGGAAAATACCAACTCTTCACATAACATTTGGAGCCACTAAAAACTTACCCTCCTTGTCTTGGATTTTGGCCTTGACATTTTCGATGGTGTCTGACGGCTCAACCTATTCGAGAGGACAACAGTCAAGCAGCTCAAAGGTGTTTCATAGAGGCAATTTAGACATCGGTGTGACATGCGTCGGAGGCTTATGTCAAGTTTAAAAGGAAAATGTCACCGGGTAACTTTTCGTGAGCTACACGTGTCGACAATGCTCGGCTAACGGCTAGTTGAGCTTAGCGCCGGGAAACATGCTTCGAAACCATCTCAACTCGACTCTGTCTGACATTAAATAACCTCCCGAGCCTCGAAACGCCAAAGGGTCGAGAAGTGATGACACGAAGTGAGGTTTTAATACGCTCAAATGTTGATATTGTGAGAGCGGGTTGAAACGTGGACGGGGCGTCGCTCACCTCGAGGGTTATAGTCTTCCCCGTGAGGGTTTTGACAAAGATCTGCATCCTGGCGCACAATCCACCTAAACGAGACAATCACAAAACAGATTTTCTCTCGTGTGCTTGATGCTTAACGTTGTAATTGACGGAGAATATTCTATTAGTTCGGGAGAGTCATGTTGTTCTCGGCTCACCTCAAATGGCGGAGCAGCAGAAAAGAGGTCCTTCAGATCCTTACGCGGGGTTTTCTAAACGGCTTTACACGGGCAGTGCGCCCGCTGCAATGCCTGAAAAAAAACTCCTACGTTTTTATTTTGTTAAATGTTTACATCGAGAAAATATGTCGCTGTTGAAATGTTTATGACTTCTTATGTATTATTCTTTTTAGGGCTTTTCCTTTTTATTTTTATTTTATTATATATGTTTTTAACGTAAACAAAGCAACACTGGCACTTTGCAGCAGTATTCCTCTTGTGTTTTAACAGGAAGTTTCAGAACTGAAGAAGGAGGAAGTCAAAATAAAGTGCCTATTTTCAAGACAGCAAGGACGACATAAAACGTTTGTTTGTTTATATAACAGTGATAAAAAGTTTTACGTGACTTTTATTCCTTGAACATGAGAACAAATACTGGGATTGTCCAGCCGGTAGCGTAATTTGACAAATAAATTGCAGATGGCCAGCAGGTGGCGATAAAACGCGCACACCGACACTGTCATTGTATATTTTGACTTTTGAATGATTAGTTATGCGTGCGTACACACACAAACACACACACACACACACACGCACGAGTACCTATTGCACTAAATTTGTATGGTTTCAACTGTATGAGTCAATCAATTTCATCTGGTTTGATGCTTTTAAGTTGTTTTTTGTCAGCATGACTTTGATTTCCACGGCGGTGGAGAGAGTGGTCACCAGTAAACAAACAATCTAGTGTTGTCAATCGTCTTGGGGGGGGGTGCTCAGAGTGTGTGTTTCATACACAGTAGTGATGACACAAAGACTTCTGTGAGTGTGTGTGTGTGTGTGTGTTTGTGCGTACGTCGTGTAATAGACTTGACTGCTAATCCGCTAAATGCTTCACTATGTGAACGAAATGCTACAATATTGTCACCTGCTGCTTACTAACTCTATTTGTTGGCCTCTAAAAGCTACTACGTTAAAAAAAAAAAGCAACATGCTAATGCGTCTGCCAAATGCTTCATTGTGTCCACTTGTTAGTCGCTAACTATTTCTATTAGCCGTGTCACCTGGATGGCAAAGCAGTAAGTTTGTGTGAAGTAAATAGTGCCAAGCATAGTGCCGACTGGGCACTATGCGAGCAGCTGTCGTTATCGTTTAACTCCATCCGGCCAGATTAAAAATAACTGTGTGTCAGTTTGCAACAACTGTCACACAAACACACACGAGAACACAAACACATTGACACTGGAGTGCATGATGAACCACCACCAATCGAGCAGCAGTTTCTAAGATGCCGATAAAGTATTGTATTTATACGGGCAGTAGATTGACTTACAAGTTGAATTTGCTCTGTGGCTAAGCTTGTAACTCAATTTACTCAAAGATCAAATCATTTTTTTTCCAGCGTTGAAATAAATTGACATGCCAGTAAACTCTTCTAGTCCCTCTCCAAAAAATGTTTTTGGTCCATGTCTTCAATGTACAAAAACGGCACTGTATTATATAACATATCATGGAATACAATGAAGTAAAAGATAAAGAAATACGTACTGTACAGTACCAAATGTCTTCTGTCGAGAAGTATTACAACATAAATCCAGAGAAGACCATGGACTCAAGGACTTCCCAGCATCGTAGAAATCCTGTGGTAGTAAATCTGGAAAACGACCTCCTAAAATTGTCTGGTTCATAGAACTTGATGAAAACATCTGTACAACTTAACAGTTTCTGTGTGTTTTTAATATTATATATTTCTGTGTTATGGTACACTGCCACCGTCGGCATCCTATAAGTTTAACTTTCACAAAACAATGTACAGTAAATCAAATTTAAAAGTAGGTCACCTTCAACCTATGGTTGCATGCGACCTGCATCACAGGAAGTTGTTAGCAGTCAATTGCAGTTAGCGGTCGGAACTGTTGAGAGATCCGTTTTAGTTTATTTTCAATCAAAGTTTTTTGATCTGCAATTCAATGATGGCATTGGCAAAGAACGGCAATCTGGCCTCAGTGCGACGACTTGACTTTCAAGCTGCGTATTTTTAGGCGTGAGCTTTCCGTAGGTCCTTTCGCAATGTCGGGAACTGCCCGAATCAGGATTTGGGCCTAGTTGAGAATCCACAGATTGGAACAACTTCCAATGGTATCCATCAGCCCCGTCTTCTGACGACGTGTCTTGTGTGATTCCGAGCAGTTGGATGTGCTTGCACCCACACATGCTTCCATGCTATAAATAAATCACTCAGGATGACATGCTACTTTAGATTCGGAGCTCAGGTCGCACTCTGCTCGCTCCCTTTTTACCATTTGCATTTGTTTGTGTGCGAGCTTTGATGTCATGCAAAAAGTTTTGCACAGCAACTGTTTACGCACCAAATACACAAATTCCTATTTCTATTATCAACCTTAAGCATAAATTACTCGCTTTTATTTTTTCCCCGATATTTGGATCAAGCTCTTTCCAATCCCTTGCCTAGAGCGGGTGTTTACCTTACACATAGAAGAAGACACATGTTGGGATATGTTTATTATATGCTTATTTCATGTCTTACACTCTCTGGGACTTTGGACACTTTGTTTCGCTCCTCTTTCATCTATAACTGTAGAAAAAATGGTTAAGATTGCACGACTGTCTGTCTTATGTGTTGTGTTGTATTTATTATTTTGTCATGTGATGTTAACTGTTCTTTTGATGGCGGCGTGGGCACCTGCAGCGGCTCCTCTCTCTCCTGAGGAAAGAAATTTAATCTGTGCTGTATGTTGCACATGTAGCACATTTGACAATAAAGTTGACTTCAATTTGAACTTGAACTATTTGCCGTGTGTCGCCGTACATACTATTTAATTACTGCCTAGGGACGTGTGTTAGATGCCATATGCATTTCATTACCTTGTGCTACGTCATGAGTCTGAAAGTAACCGTTGTGTAATGTATGTTGTACGCGTGTTTCCTCTGTTCGAAGTGAGGCTGCCACGTCCTATTGCGGACTGTTGCAAGAGTGGTGAACTGCCGACGTTGTTGTGTAATACTTGACCAGATCAAACTTCTCCATTTACAGGAGAACACTCGCCTCCTCAACTCCCGCCTATTAGGCGTGCCCAATAATGGCCTAGTCTGATTGGTCATCCTGCATGTCAACAAGGTCGAGTCAGACTCTGATTGGTCGGAACACGTCATCCTCTTTGCCTTTTCAACTTGGCGCTGCCCGTCCTGACTCGGGTTCGATTGTCTGTGTGCCGCCCTAGTCCAAACTTTGTCGGCGTCCAGGGTACACTTGACCGTTGACCGGTCGTGAGCTTCCGGTTCGGCCTCACGGTTCTTCTCGTGTCGAAAGCGGACTTTTGGTGTCAAGGCGAGCGCCGCTGAAACTTTGGTCTTCGTCACTCGAGTTGGACAAAGAAAGATGGCAGACAACGAAGAGCAGGAGCAGCAAGTGTCGTCCAGCTCGGCTCTCTTTAGCGACTTGGTCCACCACTACCAGGCCGAACCAGAGGCCGAGCCCGAACTCTACACCGGTCTTCCGCTCGATGAGCAGCCCAAGCAGGACCTCTTCAGCCTGGACGACATCGTGGACTTGGTCGGCGGAGCCCAGGACGCCCTGGAGCGGCACATGGCTGAAGATGAGGAGCCACACGGGTTCACGGAACCCCACGAGGAGGAGCCCGACTTACTAGACCCGCAGCCGGACCCGGTGCCACATTTGAGGGAAGAACAAGAGGCGGAGGAGGACGAGCAGCTCATGCCAGACTCCAGCGACACCTCCAGCTTCCGCCACACGCCTTCACTTTCCGATGCCAGTCGAGAAGCGGAGCCACAGGTTTGTCCGGAGAGCGACGCCCTCCCCGCTTCGCCTGCAACCCAGCCAGCAGCGCCATCCCCCGCACACGCGGCGCAGACACCGGCCGACACACAGCCAGCACGGGCCCCGGTATCTTGTAAGTATAAAGACGCTCGTCTTCGTCACCGGCGGGAGACGACTCTTGTGGCGTTTGATGTTGTCTGAAGCGCTTCCTGAGACATTTTTTGTGGGG